TCTCACCAGTCTTTTCGAGGGCCTTACTAAGTTTATCGGCAGCTTCTAGACAGTTCTTAAGAGACCTTAAAAGTGTGGTTCTGAACTCAATATCCTCCATTGACAGTTTTGTCCTGTTTCTTTGTCTCCGCATTTTTTATGCTTTCTTGGTGCACCCCCTAGTGGTCTTTGTCCGCAGTCTTGTTGCCTTTAAGCCTTGATTGTTGTCGGCAATACCGGGGTGATTTGACCTCCAGGCTAACTGGCTATGAGAGTCTGCTGTGTCTGTAGTGGGAGGGCTTCTGTGCTGGATCTCTAGGGCGGTGCTAATCTAGCGTTTGCCTGAGGCTATCAGGCAAATGGTTCTGTGCAGGGCTTGGGCGGGGCGGGTCCCCGGGGATCTACAGGGCGGGCGGAACAAGCAGTTATGGCGACTCTCAGTTCCTTCCCCAGGGGCTCTGCCTCTCAGAGCCCCAGCAATGGCTGCAAACCTCGGAGAGAAAGCTGCCTTCGAGTTCCGACCGAAGCCAGACAGTCCCGTTTCTCCCGTTTGAGTCTCGGTCCCCAGAGACTCGCCCGGATCTGGAGCTCAGAGTCTGAAACTCCCTCCCGATTGAAAACAACAACCGCGCCCTCCGCCGCCAGCCCGCTCCGCGCGCACTTCCGCACCTGAGTATTTCACTTCAGCACAGCGCCTCCTCTGAGTCTGGGTATGATATTCTCTTTCCTCCTAGTTGTAGAATTTCCACTCAGCCAGCCTTCCCGTGGTTCTGGGTGATGTCCGTTCTGTCCTTTAGTTATATCTCTGAAGTGGTTGTTTGAGGCAGCGATCTCCGGCGTTAACCTATGCCGCCATCTTGGTTTCTCCATGAATTTTCTATTGAGATTTTCCCCTAAGATATTTTCTAAACTCCCAGCCTTTAACACCCCCCCCGCCCCCCCCCCCCCCCCCAAAGACAGCCCTGCCAGTGTGGCTATGTGGTTGGGTGTTGACCTAAGAATGAAGAGGTCAAGGTTTGATTCCCAGTCAGGGCACATGCCCAGGTTTCGGGTTGGATCCCCAGTAGGGGGCGTGTGGGAGGCAGCTGAGTAATAATTGTCTCTTATCACTGATGTTTCTATTATTGATGTTTCTATCTCTCTCCCTCTCCCTACCTCTCTGAAATCAATAAAAAAAACACTTTAAAAATAAAATCCTCAAGACAGACCCAGTGGGCACTCTCCCTCCCTAGAGCATGCCTGTGCCTTTCTCTTCCTCCTCTTCTTCCCCCACAAGCCGGTTACCTTTGCCCTTCTCTCTCCTAAGGCCCAAGGGCCCTTCCTTTGCCTCTGTACCTTATTTCCTGAGCCTATGCAGCCCAGCTGACTCGCTTCTACTACTTCTGTGACTTTCTAAATAAACTTTCTCTTCTAGTTTGAGTCTTGGCTCTGAAATCTTTCTTAGCCAGAACTCAAGTACCAAAGTTGCTGAACCTAGGTCTGGTATGACTCCACAAGTCTAACACCTGGTGCCCTTTTGCTGCCAACAGCTCAAAGTTGTTAGTCAGCAATCCCTGAAACCATTAAAACCAACCTGTCATATTACAAGGAAGTCTTTTGTCATTCTTAGTAAACAAACTTAGAAATTCACCTTTATAATGACAGAATATAAGCACTTATAGGTTTAACAAAAATTTGATGGTACTGACATGTAATTATTCTCGATTCTTTTCATTAGCTATCAGAGGTGTGAGGCCAGCTGAACAATTTATCTCCAAGTACCTGTGTCAACAGTTATCTTATTCAAGATTCCTCATCAAATGGGAAACTAAAGCTTGTGGCCCTTGGCTTCAGATATGATTTTTAGCCAAGGCTTATTAAAGAATTTGGGGGTATTATAATTTCCTGTTTCCTCACATGTGACCTAGGTAAAGTCCCTTAGCCTCTCTGAGCCTCAAGTTGCTAATCTGTATAATGGAGACAATATTAGTGCCCATATCATAAAGGTATTGCAAGAATTAAAAAAAAAAGAGTGTGGGCAAAAGTAGATTTACAGTTGTGAGTATCGAAAACACAGAGTTTATTCTTATATTTTTTTTATTTAAAAATGGGCGCCAATTGTTGGGCTCCAGCCCCAGCAGGTCCAGGGGTTCCCAAAGGTGTGGACGGAGTCAGCGAAGAAGGAATGACACTGAGGCAGCGTTCAGTTGATCAGCAGCCTAGCCATGTTCTCTCTTTATTGTCCTGTTACATCTGTATTTATACCATTTGATCCTATAAGCATGCCTCTATAATCACATCATGGTATGTTTTGGGTAAGGTTCTACAGTTCCTTGTTTCATATCCATAGTTTCTTATCTGACCTTTGCCAAAAATCCTGTCTCTATCTAGTTCTGTTGATTTTAATCTTGTCTAGGTTAATCTCTGTGTTCCATTATAAGGGCTATTCCAAGGTCACTGCTCTACTGATAAGCTACAAGGAAGTGAATGAAGGAGATTATCCTACCCAGTAAAGTTTATGTCCTCCCTGGACATAAGCCTCGCTGCTTGTTTTCCCTGGGACTGCCCTGTGTCGGTGGGTCTCCAGGGGTATAGGCTTTGGTGCTTTCCCTGGTGGGCAGACCCCTGGGGATGTGGGCTTAACAAGTCCCAAATTTTATTGCCAACAGTCTTAGTGCAAGTAATTTATATTACTTTTTTATTTAAAAATAGTTTTATTGATTTCAGAGAGGAAGGGAGAGGGAGAGAGAGATAGAAACATCAATCAGAGAGAATCATTGATCAGCTGCCTCCTGCACTCCCCCTACTGGGGATCCAACCTGCAACCCAGGCATATGCCCTTGACCGGAATCGAACCTGGAACCCTCAGACGCTCTATCCACTGAGCCAAACCATCTAGGGCCATTCTTGTATTGTTTTTTAATGTATTTTTAGATTATTATTGATTTTAGGGAGAGAGGAAGGGCGAGGGAAAGAGAGAAACATTGATGTGAGACAGAAGTATTTATCAGTTGCCTTCCACATGCATCCCAACCAGGGATCGAACCCAGGTTGCTACTAAAATGAGTATGTGCCCTGACTGGCGGCAACATTTCAGTATCTGGGACAACATTCCAACCAGCTGAGCCCCACCCACAGGGCTATTGTTTAGTAATTATTGTATTATTTTCATACAAACAACTGTAGACCTACTTTTGCTCCACCCTGTTGGTAGAATACCCCGAATGCTACCCAGCATAACAAACACCAGAAAACATTTATTACTAATACAGAGAGTGGAGCCTTTAGAAAAATAGAAGTGTGATCTTTACATCATGCTTAAGTAAAGAGTTTGTAATTTGGCAATTTATCTGGAGAGCAGTTTTTTGTTTTGTTTTGTTTTTGTTAATCCTCACCCAAGGATATTTTTCCATTGATCTTTTTTTTTTTAATATATTTTATTGATTTTTTACAGAGTGGAAGGGAAAGGAATAGAGAGTTAGAAACATCGATGAGAGAGAAACATCAATCTGGTGCCTCCTGCACACCCCCCACTGGGGATGTGCCTGCAACCAAGGTACATGCCCTTGACCGGAATCGAACCCGGGACCCTTCAGTCCACAGGCCGGCGCTCTATCCACTGAGCCAAACTGGTCAGGGCTCCATTGATCTTTTAGAGTGGAAGAGAGAGGGGGAAGACAGAGAGAAACATCCATGTGAGAGGAACATATTGATTGGTTGCCTCCTGCACGCACCCTGACCAGGGCCCAGGCCAGGGAGGAGCCTGCAACCAAGGTACATGCCCTTGACCAGAATCGAACCCCAGAACCTTTGGTCTGCAGGCAGAAGCTCTATCCACTGAACCAAACCGGCTAGGGCTGCAGAGCAATTTTTGAATCATAAATATAATAATTCCCTTTGGTTTAATCATCCTACTTTTAAGAATTTTTCCTGAGAAAATAATTAAAGATGTGGGCAAAGATTTAGGTAGAGTATGTTTAGTGTAGCATTATTTAAAATAGAAAAAATTTACATATTCAACAGTATGGGAAAAAAATAAATTATGGTGAGTTTTCACTTTTAAAAATTTGAAATATGCATGTAAAACAATTGGAAGGAAGTATATTAAAATATTCAAAGGTGAGTATCTCTGGACTGTGGCATTATAGGGGATTCCTATTATATTATTTATGCTTTTCTGTTTTTTCCAAATTTTCCACAATAAATACATTACTTTCACAGTTGAGAAAAGGTTCTTTTTAATAACCTCATACACACTTTTTTTTTTTTTTTTGCTAGGCTTTGTAAAAGACCATGCATATGAAAGAATTCCCCACGCATATGTGAAGGAACTACATAAAAATCCTCTCACCGCTACTCCAGTTGGATCTTTCCCAACCTCCTCATGGACTATTGGAACAACTTCCTAATTGCTTTCCTTGCTTCCAGTATTGACTTTACCATCCCATTAAAAAAAAAATATTGATTCCAGAGAGGAAGGGAGAGGGAGAGAGAGATAGAAACATTAATGATGAGAGAGACTCATTGATCAGCTGCCTCCAGCACACCCCCTACTGGGGATGAGTCTGCAATGCGGGCATGTGCCCTTGACTGGAATCGAACCTGGGACTCTTCAGTCCATAGACCAACATTCTATCCACTGAGTCAAACCGGCTAGGGCTTACTGTCCCATTCTTCATGCAGGCTGCTGCTAAATGAGCTATCTATAGTGAAAAGCTGTTTACCTGCTACCTACAAATCCTCATGATTCCCAAGAACTTGGTCATAAAGTTGAAACTCCTTAGATTGACTCCTTAGGTCAATCACCAACCAATTAGTTCTGAAACACACACCTCTTCCTGCTTCACTTCCTATCCCTCTCCCAAGTGCCATATGATCCAAACATATTTAGTCACACTGTCATACCTTTATGTCTTTGCACACATCTGTTGTAGGCAGTAGGAACTGCACCTACAGGTGTTGGACCCATGGGATCAGACTGGACCTGGGTTCAATAACCTTGGTACTTGAGTTCTGGCAAAGAAAGAATTCAGAGGCAAGACTGAAACTATAAGAGAACATTTATTAGGGAAATCACAGGATAGAAGTAATTTGTAGAAGAAATGGGCTTAGGAGTTATAGAGGTAAAGGAAGGGCCCTTGGAACTGGGGAGTAAGGAAGGTCATGGTAGCCCGCCTGGGGAGGAGGGGGAAGGGAAAGGAGAGGGCTGCTCTCTGGAGGGAGAGTCCTCTGTCCTAAGGTTTAAGGGTGGAGATTTTAGGGGAAGGTCTCAATAGAATATTTGGCAGCTTTCCAGGTATGTCCTTTCAGGGTCTAGGTCCCCACTGATTGGTTGGTGCCAGGACAGGGGGTCATTATCCGATGCAGCTGGTCCTGAGGTCGGTCAGTGGTGGTGTTGCTTGTCTGGTTTTGTTGCTTTTCTGCGCCTGGAGCCTCGATGTTATCTCTGAGGGGGAAAGATCAGGGGGGTCCAAACCTCATGACCAGTGATATGCTAGGGGAGGAAAGGTCACCCTGGGGGCAAGGTCCCACCCTACAATTGTCCTTCGTTAGGTACCCACCTAGGGCTTTCTGCCTGGTGACTTTCTGTACTTGGCCCATCGTCCTTGCTCTGTTCATGTCTAACTACCTACCACACATCCACTACTCGGGCTTGTAAACCCATCCTATCCTTCAAGCTGGCAGATGACTCCTCCCTAGAAGTTTGTTTTGACATAGCCCTCCGCTGGCATCACTTATTACCCTTTGGCTACCCTTTCTTTGGTGCCCACTTTCGTTCAAGTCCTTGTGGCTATTTAGTGGTTTCTATGCCCATGTACCCAACTGAATGCACCTCCAATACACTCCCTTGAAGGCTATCAATTTTTTTTTTTTTTACTTCATCCAAGGATATGTTTTACTGATTTTAGAGGAGAGGGGATGGGAGAAAGAGTGAGACAGACAGACAGACAGAGAGACAGAGAGGTGAGAGAGAAACATGGATCTGTTGCCTCCCATATGTGCCCCAACTGGGGATCAAACTTACAACTTAGGTATGTACCCTGACTGGGACTGGAATTAGCAACTTTTTGGTGAACAGGATGATGCTCCAACCCACTGAGCAACACTGGCCAGGGTGGAAGGCTATCATTTTAAAAAAATTGATTTTTAGAGATAGAGAAAGGGAGAGGGATAGAGAGATAGAAACATCCACGAGGAACATTGATCGGTGGCCTCCTGCACGCCCCCTTCTGGCGATAGAGATGCAACCCAGGCATGTGTCCTGACTAGGAATTGAACTAGGGACTTCTTGGTTCATGGATCGACGCTCAACCACTGAGCCACATTGGCCAGGTGAAGGCTAGTTGATAACTATTTAATAAGTGCTTTCTATGTGCCAGGACCGGGGCTAGGCATTGGCCTTTCTAAAAATATGTTTTCTTCTTTGCCTCTGGCCCAGCACATGCCACATGCTTACTGAATGAATGGCTGAATGAGTTATCTAGTACAGAGATCCTCAAACTTCAGTGTGCAATATGAATCACCTGAGGAACTTGTAAAAATACAGATGCTGGGGCCCCACCCTAAAACTATTGAAGTTCAGTCACCTGTATGTTTAACAAGCTTCCCAAGTGATTGTGATGCATTCCAAAGTTTGGGATTGTTGAGAAGTCCCACTTATTTTCAGAAAAGACTGTGCTTACGCCGTTCCAGGCAGATAAAAGCCCACTCTGCATTTGTTTCCTCAAAGTAAGGAAGACACTATTTATTAAGCACCTATTAAGTATTGGGTGAGTTATATTTAGGAGCCATGCTGGCTGGGCAAAATGTCTTTTCTTTTACAAAATGATGGTGATGGCAGTTGATTGTTTCTCCATTTTTTTAAAATTTTATTTTTAAATTACAGTTTACATTCAATATTATTCTGTATTAGTTTCAGATGTACAGCATAGTACTTTACAAAGTGGTCCCCCTCTCTTTTTTTAATGTCTTGGTAAAATAAAAAAATAGGTAACTCTGGTTTGGGGTCCAATTTTTTTAAACTTTAATTATTAAAGAAAACATGCTTATTGTACAGAATTTGAAAAATATATCTAAGCAAAGAGAACAACATAGATATTTTTGTCTATTTATTCTACCAAAACCTACCTCCATCCCATCTACTCTTAACCCCACACTAATACAAGAGTTGAGAGGAGGAATGACAAATACAGGACTTTTACTTTTTCATTTGCTATTATATCCCGAGTACTTCCCATGTCATGAAGATCTTGTTGAAATATCTTTGTTAATGGCTATTTGATAATTTTATTGTAATTTATGAAACCATTTCTCTTCTGTTTCGATGCAGTTTTAAGGCATGTCAGTCATGATTTTCCCCATGAACGTCTTTGACTCTAGCTACCCTCCAAATGTTCATGTTACTTAAAAGTCTATCTTTGGAGAGAAACTAAGATGGCGGCATAGGTAAACACCGGGAAATTGTCGCCTCCCACAACAATTGAAAATTACCGCAAAGGACTGAGCAAACATCATCCAGAACAACAGAAAGGCTGGCTGAGTGTAAATTCTACAACTAGAAGGAAAGAAAAGCACGCTGAGAGCCAGAGGCGCTGCGGAGGTGAAGTGCAGAGGTACAGCGGCTCGCGCGCGCGAGGAAAGGGGGTGGCACCTGAGGACGCGGCTGTCTTTTTGAATCACAAACTCCCGACTGCTCTGAACTCCGGTTCCGGGAAGTCTCTGGGGACCCAGGTCTCATACGGGGAGAAGCTGGTCTGTACTGCAGCGGGCGAACTTGAGGGCGGCTTTCCCTCAGAGGTGCTTGCAGCCGTTACCGGGACACTGAGACGCGCGACTCCGGGCGGAGAATCGGCCATAGCTCCCTGATCCGCCCTTTGATTCCCTGAGACCCCGCCCCACCCAGGCTGCGGCAGAGGCTTTTGCATGTGAATGTACCTAACTGCAGCCCAGCCAGGCAGACCCGGAACTTCCAAGAGAAGGCCCAAGGCCCCGCAGCGGCTTGCATTGCTTCACAGCTGAGCCTCTTCGTGGCTCCTGCTGTGTGGCCTCAGGCAGAGGCTGAATTAGCACCTCCTTAGATCCAGGAGCCACTGTACCCAGTGGTCAGAGTGGGACCATCCAGATTGCAACTCCTCAGATCCATAAGGGACACACTCAGGGAGCAGACTCAGTGAGCACCAAAGCCCCACTGAAGCAAGTCTTGCCCCAGAAGGGTGTCTTCAGCACAGAAGTTCTCCCACTTTAGACACAGCTGATTCTCACAGCCAATTGGCCTGGAGGTCAATTCCTCCCAGTGATTCTACAACAACCAAGGCACCAAGAGTGCACCAAGAGTGTCCACCCCAGGTAACTGGGGAGGCTGAGCTACTGGGCCCTACAGGACACCTGGCGCGCAGGGCCACTCTATCAACACAGGGAAGCTGCCAAAATGCGGAGACAAAGAAACAGGTCACAAATGGCAGAAATGGAGGAAAGCAAACGATTGGATATAGAGTTCAAGGCCACGTTTATAAGGTTTTTCAAGAATTTTATGGAAACCGCCGATAAATTTAATGAATCCCTCAATAAGTATAGTGAGACCATGGAGGACATGAAAAAGGACCAACTAGAAATTAAGCATACACTGACTGAAATAAAGAATAATTTACAGAGATCCAGCAGCAGACAAGAGGATCCCAAGAATCAAGTCAAAGATTTGAAATACAAAAAAACAAAAAATACCCAACCGAAAAAGAAAAAAGAAAAGAGATTCCAAAAATATGAAGATAGTGTAAGGAACCTCTGGGACAACTTCAAGCGTACCAACATCAGAATTATAGGGGTACCAGAAGGAGAGGGAGGGCAAGATATTGAAAACCTTTTTGAAGAAATAATGACAGAAAACTTCCCATACCTGGTGAAAGAAATGAACTTACAAGTCCAGGAAGCACAGAGAACCCCAAACAGAAGGAATCCAAAGAGGACCACACCAAGACACATCATAATTAAAATGCCAAGAGCAAAAGATAAAGAGAGAATCTTAAAAGCAGCAAGAGAAAGACAGTCAGTTACCTACAAGGGCGTACCCATACGACTGTCAGCTGATTTCTCAACAGAAACCATGCAGGCCAGAAGAGAGTGGCAAGAAATATTCAAAGTGATGAATAGCAAGAACCTGCAACCAAGATTACTTTATCCAGCAAAGCTATCATTCAGAATAGAAGGTCAGATAAAGAGCTTCACGGATAAGAAAAAGCTAAAGGAGTTCATCACCACCAAACCAGCATTATATGAACTGCTGAAAGGTATTCTTTAAGAAGAGGAAGAAGAAAAAGGAACTCTGACCATTTGCCACAGCATGGATGGAACTGGAGAGCGGATAAATACCACATGATCTCACTCATTTGTGGAATATAATGAACAACATAAGCTGATGACTGTCGGGACTTGGAGGGAAGGTAGGGGAGGGTGGGGGTAAGGGGGAAAGATCAACCAAAGGACTTATATGCAAGCATATAGGCCTAATCAATGGACATGGACAACGGGGGGGTGAGGGCATGAGCGGGGGGGGGGGGTAGAGGGTAACGTGGGGACAAGGACACATATGTAATATCTTAATCAATAAAAAATATATTAAAAAAAAAAGTCTATCTTTGGCTCTTCTTCTTTCTCTTTCATTGATTTTATGTTTCCATTTTTTTCCAGCCCCTTCTATATGCCAGTGACTCCCTATATACTCAGACCTCTCTCCTGAGTCTAAAGCCCATGAAAGTGAGAGAGTAACATAAAAATAGTGGGGAGATTCTTGACTGCCATATTGAAGAGTTGGGGTCCAATTAAAAAAAAATTAGACTAGTTCTGTAAATCCCAAATGTGGTTACTGCTGATTCAAACACAAGCCCCTTTTTACAGTATGAGCCTGTTTCCTTGGCTCTCCCTGCAGCAAGTGGAAATCACTCACAACACTTCCCAGTACAATGAAGTAGCGTGTGTGTGTGTGTGTGTGTGTGTGTGTGTGTGTGTGTGTGTGTGTGTGATGTAGAAGAATGGACCAACTTTTCAGGCACAGGGGAGCTGCTCAGCATCCCCATTTGATTGCTGCCTTCCCTTCCTCCCTTTCTGAGCCTGGCCAGGGAGGGAGCCATCAGAGCTGGGGGCAGGGAGAGGAGTATGACCACAATTCCAGCTCTTTTTCTTGGCAGTTCAAACCCTATTGTAATACATAAGTATTACACTCCTCTGAAGCCTGAACTTCTCAGGATAGGAGGCAGGAAGCTGAGCTGGAATATGAAAGGGTTTGAAGAGGGCTGAGGTTACACAAATAGCTCTGCTGACCCATGCACAGGGTGCCTCGGCCTCACGGGCTTTGCTCCACTTCCTTTTGGGTTGGAGAAAATCTCCTGGAAGATCCAGCTTGGCTTGGCCAGGCCCAGCCAGACCTCTCTCTTCCCTGCCCAATTTTCTGGTCTTGGGAAATCTGAGGAGAGGGCGGTTAGGCAGAAGGGTCTGCTCTGATCTATCTCAAGACTATTAGGTCCTCAGGCACTAATGTTGAGGAGAGAATTACTTACTCAGTATCCTGGTGCTTGATGATATGATCTTCTAGGTATTTTTTTTCTCAAAAGCCATCCTCTTGCCCAACCTCCAGATACTTCTCCTTTCTTATTTCCACTTCCTCATACAAACTTCTCAATACTGAAGAAGGAGCAACCCAAAGCACAACCTAGAGTTCTTAGAGTCTGCGGAAAGGGAGAAGTTGGAGGAGAACTGGGATTGGCGCGATGACTGGACTTGGATGACCCCAATGCAAGGACTTTCCAAAAAACACTGGGACTTCACAGAGACTGGAGCTCTAGAAGCTTGGGTGTTGGAGGCCATCTCATCCCACAAACCCACCACAGTTAGGGATTCCTCCTGGGACACCCCTAGTATTGAACCCCATCAGAAGAACCTTTGTTTGGCAGCTTTACAGTTAGAGAAATACACTCATGCTTCAAGATCTGATGATGCCCTCGTTAACAAAGGAAAGGAAAGAGGGGTAAAAATCCAGGCGTGTCTGGCCCCAGAAGCCAAACAAACATCCCAGAATGTCAGTGTTCAGAATGACACTTACCTAGGTATTATCTCAAGACAGCATTAAAATTTAGTCCTGAGGGTCTAGAAATATGAGTTTTGCTCAAGTCTTCGTTCTTTTCCTAAAGGCCTCCAGGAGCTGACTCTATATTTTGGGTTACATTAGCCCCTCCAGGACTCGCCTACTTGACCCAAGTAGGCTCCAGTACAACAAAGGCATTCTGAAATGAATGTCTTCAGAAGTTGGGTGATACTGCAATTCTGTATTTCTAGGTTGACTCCTGTAAGCAGTGTGGGCAGGAGAGACCTGTAGGAATGCCCTGGACTGGAGTTGGAGGAATGGAGCCTCACATAGACCATGAGCTGATGGAGCAAGCAGTCAGGAATGGAGATGGGTCACTGTCCTTCTGGCTGAGCCTGCCTATCTCCCTGTGAGCTATATAGCCTCAGCATATCTGTTTACTTCATATCTGTGTTTATCTCCTTCCTGGACTTCCCTTTCTTTCCCCCCCTGGGGCTGGATCTGGTCAGTCTTCTCTACTCCCTCAAGATCCCTCCCTGGCTAATCACATGCCATATACCTTTCAGTATTGCCGTGGCTTCCAAATATATGGACTGGTCTTTAATTCAGTTCTGAGCTCCAGCTTTGCAATGAGCTCCTCCCAAACACCTACACTTGGCTGACACACATTCAACTCACTTGTATTAATTTATCAGTTCACTCCCCCGTACTGCTATTGGAACATCTGACCTTGTCCCACTTCTTAACATTTCTTCAGTGGTGTCTGATTTTCCTCCCCAGATATGTAGATGGGGCAGGGGTGAGGCGGGGGTGACTGAGAGTTGGTTTGAAGTGTTCTGGGGATCTGGAACAGAGAAATTATCTGAGATCCAATAGCACCGTGGTCGGCAAACCGGGGCTTGCGAGCCACATGCGGCTCTTTGGCCCCTTGAGTGTGGCTCTTCCACAAAATACCACGTGCGGGGCGTGCACGTACAGTGCGCTTGAAACTTCGTGGCCTGGGGGGAGGATGGGGATTAATGGGGGGGATAAGGACACATTTGTAATACCTTAACTAATAAAGAATTTATTTTTTTTTTTAGAAAAAGGAAAAAAAAATATTTTCTAGAGTCAAGGATATTTAAATAGCAGAATTTTATGAGAATATACAAAATAAATAATTTTGCATAGTAAAAAAAAAAAAAAAAAAGAAACTTTGTGGCCCATGCTCAAAAGTTGGTATTTTGTGGAAGAGCCGGTATTTTGTGGAAGGGCCACCCTCAAGGGACCAAAGAGCCGCATGTGGCTCTCGAGCCACGGTTTGCCGAGCCACAGTTTGCCAACCACCACAATAGCAAGTCAAGAGTAAGGTAAACAGTTTAGAGGCGGATTACAATGCCAAGTAGAGCAAAGCATGTGAGGAGAAAATATCCTGTGACAAAACCACAGGGATCAGAGCTGGAGGAGGCTGCTGGATGGGAAGAAGCCCCACAGGAGGAAGTGAGGCAAAGCTAGAATAATGGTTGGTCACCATTTCTAAGCATCGCTCATGCATCTGGTGTGTGAGAGTCAGGAACAATCAGAGAAGCTAAGGAACAGAAGAAAACTAGCAGACTGTCATCTACTCCGTAGCAGAACCTTCAGATCCTTTCCGACCTGGTTCATGCTTACTTCTCCAGGTTCACCTTTGTCACTCCTCAGCTCACCCCAGTACTACAGGCATTTTCCCGAATTCGGTGAGACTCCTGTGATTCTATGTACATGCACAATTCCTTCTGCCTAGAGTATCATTGCCATTGGTGTCTACTCAGTGAAGACCAACTCACCCTTGTAGATGAGCCCCAGATTTCTCAACTCCTTCAGACACGGTGAGTAATTCTAATGTCACCTGAGGCAAACCTTCTTACCCCAATTATTTCATTGCCACATTGTGTAATAATTGTTTATCTGCGTGCCTGAACTGAACTGTGTACTCCCTGAGGTCAGAGCCTACATCTTACTGACTGTTTAAACCCCAGCACCTGCCTGGTTGGCATGGCTCAGTGGCTGAGCGTTGACCTATGAACCAGGAGGTTATGGTTCGATTCCCCGTCAGGGCACATGCCCGGGTTGCAGGCTCGATTCCTGGTGTGGGGCGTGCAGGAGGCAGTCAATCAATGATTCTCTCTCATCATTGATGTTTCTCTCTCTCTCTCCTTTCCTATTTCTATTTGAAGTCAATAAAATTATATTTAAAAAAATAAACCCCAGAACCAAACATACTGGCTAGCACATACTTAGGGCACCCTAAACATTTCTTGGGTGAATAAATGAACAGATTAATGGGCTCACATTCTCACAGGGGAGACAAGCAAGCAAAGAGAAAATTTCAAAGCTGTGTGAAAAGGGCCATGCTAATAGGTCAACTTGTTGTAATGTACCCCTCGAATCACAGAAGGATGCCTCAAGAAGTTGAATTAAAGGGTCACATTTATTGCAATCTGGGACTATGAGGGGCCATTCCCCAAATCTCATAGTGATAAGATGGCCGCAAAACCAGACTTATATAGGCAAAGATCACAAAGGTATTGATTACATCCCAAGGTTTGGAATGAGGAATCTGGTTTGCAAAAAAGCAGTTTACAGAAGCAGAAGCAGCATGTTCTCTAAATCACAGTTTTGGGTCTCCAGAACACTGAGTCAACAGGGACACGTTAAGTGGAGCCCTCTGACCTTGGGATAATTGTGCTGTCCTTCCCAGGTAAAGGAAAATGTGCTCTCTAAGACCAGTATGACCACAACCAATGGGATATCCACATTACAATCAATAGGGTATTTAATTGAATGGGGTGATTTATATAATTCAGAAAATTAAAATAACTTTTCTATTATTGAACAAAGCAAATAAGTACAGAAGCCAAACAGCAGGGTTAAAGTTAAACTATAGTTTCTACCTGAGATGATTGCTACCATACTTCAAACTTGGGTACAGAGAGGAAGGAATGCCTCATTTCAGGCAGTTGTACCCCACTTTCTCCCCGTTGCATTATGCAATTCAATATAAAAACACCAAACAGTAAAATTTTATTTTTGAGACAAACAAGATATCTTATCCATAGGAATGAAATCAGATAAGCCCATTCTTTTTGGGAAGGGGGCAGTGCCTTGTTTTGTTTGTGACTATCAGTTAGGGTGCTGGCAAAGTGAAGAATGTAACTGAAGAGAATGTAGTAACTGCTGGCAGAGATGTGGGCAGGGTTGAGGAAACCAGTCAGGGCTGAAGAGGCACTTAAAAACTTGCAACAGCTGGAAGCTGTTGCCACATCTAAGCCTGAGGTCTAGGGTGGGATCCTGGAGCTCAATGAGGAGCTCAGCCACTGTCAGAACCTCAGACTGGCCCAAGAAGCTGGTGATAGGGGACCCCCAACCACGCTCTTTTCCCACAATCAAAATCTGCCTCCAGCTCTCCTTAGCTGAGCTCAATCAGAAGCCAGAGAGCAAGCGAGCCCTGGTGATAGTTCATAGAGGTCAGACTCCAGGGTGGAGAGGGGCTGAGAATGGATCTGGGTGTTAGGAGAGCAAACAGAGAACGATCAGCACAGGGGGAAGATGCCTCTACTCTGCAGGCGATCTGAGTGTATGATCACTGCCTTTTGGGTAAACATTAATTCGAGCCTTGCGGATGACAATTTTATGTCTCATGTTTTGTATATTTAGGCATTTGTGTGTCCAAGCGTATTGAAATATGCGCTGCTTTATTAGTGGGTCTGGGTGGGTACCTATGTTTTTAAAAAGCTTTCCAAGTAATTTTGATGGTCTTCGCTTTTTAAAAATAATTGTACTTATTGATGAGAGAGAGAGAGACAAGAAACATTGATTTGTTGTTCCACTTATTTATGTAATCATTGGTTGTTTCGGGTATGTGTCCTGACCAGGGATCATGCCTGCAACCTTGGCGGATGGGGGCGACACTCTAAACAACTGAGCTACCAGCCAGGGCAGATAGTCTTTGCTTTTTGAAAATCACTTTTATAGTCCCATTCTCTCATGTTTTAGAGAATGAAATTAAGGTCCAGAGTAATGGAAAAATGCCATTTTTAGGTGACGTTAAAGTGTTTGGCTAGAAAAGTGACAGGTTTGCACTTATCACAGAGCCCAGTTCGTTCTTCCATTTTACTGATGAGGAAACAGACTGCTAAAATGGAGTGATGGTCCCACTTAGTATTATAAGTCATACAGTCAGGTAGTGAGTTAGTTATATAGTAAGTCACAGAGAAGGAGGGGCTAGCACTAAGACCAGTATTTTTAACTCTTAATCCAGTGTTCTTCCAGGCAGCACACTTTGGAGGAAGGTGTGTGTGTGTGTGTGTGTGTGTGTGTGTGTGTGTGTGTGAGAGAGAGAGAGAGAGAGAGAGAGAGAGAGAGAGAGAGAGACAGAGAGAGACAGAGAGAACGAATGAACCCTGGGGGCAACAATTCTAGTGTTCTAATCTCCTGTTCTGGTAAGGTGGGTCTCCCCACAGCCTCCGATTGGAAAGAAAACAGAGCAGGCAGGCAGAGTGCATTGGCCAGAGGGGCTCTATGCAGAAAGGGCCTGGAGGGACAGGGGAAGGCTGTGGGTGACCTTCAATCAGAGATGCAGAGTCAGATACTTTAAAGGACTCTAGGCGGGCTTTTTCTGGGTGGAGAACTCTCTGGGTGTGTTGGGATTCTGGGAAAGTCTGGAGGGGAGAGATAATGGTCTTAGCAAGAGGAATGTGGTTTACGCAAAAGGGAATGTCTGTTGTGAAGTGGTCTAAAGATCAGTTAAAATATATTTTTATTCATTTCAGAGAGGCAGAGAGAGGGAGAGCTAGAAACATACTATATAATAAAAGGCTAATATGCAAATTGTCTCCTCAGGAGTTTGGCCGACTGGAAATTCAACCGTTTGCTCTGATGTGTGCTGACCACCAGGGGGTGGCACGGAATGAAGGAAGGCCCCAGCCAGCAGCCGGAAGGCCCCAATCGTCCCTGATCGCCGGCCAGGCCTAGGGACCCTACCCGTGCATGAATTTTGTGCATTGGGCCTCTAGTCAATGATAAGAGCGAATCACTGATGGGCTGCCTTCTGCACACCCCATACTGAGGATCAAGCCCACAGCTCAGACATGTGCCCTGACCAGGAAGCTTCTTAGGCTTACACTGGGGATTAAGGCTGCAACCAGGTCATGTGCCCTGACTGAAATCAAACTGGCAACCTTTTGGTGTATGCAACTTCTTGGTGTATGTAACTTCTTGGTGTATGTAACCTCAGTGTATGGGATGACGTTCAACCAACTGAGCCACACTGTCTAGGAAGGTTCCTAATTTAAGTTCTTTATGAGAGAGAGTACATGTTTTTGGTGAGCCTACAGGGTGTTGATTGCCTTCAGCTCAAAATAATTCACATGCCAAAGTGGCAAATTCTGGGGTGGCCTGTTCTAAATCCCTCCTCTAAAACTTCTTGAGACGTTTCACTTTCCAGAAGTTTTAGTACACTATTGATATTAAAGCTTAATTTTAAAAAACTTCTAATAAATTTATTCAATCTTATCCAACTTGATCACATATAAAATTTCCTCTCTCAAGATTCCTTTTCATAAACTTTCTACAACTTTCTGTGTCTCTTTTAGTTGGTCTCTTGTTCTCTTACCCAATTCAGAAATAATCAAGATAAAAATCACTTTATTTCCCTAATGAAACACATCTCCATATCTCATACCTTTTTTTTTTCAAGCCAAAACATATCTTATTTTTTTTGGTATATATAGTTGTTTTTCCTATTATCATTGATTTTTGTAGCTTTAATTACATATATTAAAATTCTTAAAATTTTCTTTAACTACCAGAACATTAAACAAGTTTATTTCAGATGTAATAGCAATGTTAAAATCAACAAATTTAATTCTTAATGGCACCAAGTAAACTTAGTCATTTAAGTATTTTTAAAGTTATTCCCTCCAAAAAATGGAGGGAGCTTTTCTTTTTCACCCCACATACCATGGTTTCCCAATAGCTCTGTTTTTTGGAGGACTTTCAATAAATTAGTAAACTGCTTTGGGGATATTTTAGAACTTCTTTCCCAAATAAAAATGAATCTGGACAAATTATATACTGCATTGATTTCTCTGCAGATTCTTTTCCTTAGAACCTAAATGCAACTGCCATATGGTGTAATTTCACCCCACAGTAAAAACTATCTGTACTGAAAAATATGATGGAATCATATTCTGCAATCATATAGTTAATAAAATTGTTTTAGCTTAATTATAATTTTTAAAAATCATATTTCAAAATAACCAACTCAACATGGGACATTATTTCAGTCTTTACTGGCTCATAGGTATATGAACTAGTACCCAGATCTTCTATATCTTCCTCTTCCATAAGTGGATGGAATTATTTAATACAAGTTTGATGTAAACAATGAACATGTTAAAAAAATTTACAATTTAGGTTAAAATCATTGGCTAGTGTGGAAAAAGAAACACTATAATGAGAGGGAGCCTACACTCTCAATTCAAAATCTAGTATTTTTTTCCTCCTTCAATATCATGTACTTACTGTCATAAGGCAGCTATATACACACATTTAGGAACACATTCATAGTACTGATTAGAAAGTCCAGATGAAATGGTTATAGAAGTAGAGGCAGTGTCATTTCAGAAAATTCATTTATATATCAAAATCTATTTGATATCTGGAAGTTTACAAAAATGCTGAATTCTTCAAAGTAATAATGCCTTCTATAACTCAAGCACTCTTCTCTTGGCAAGAGCAAGTTGAAGCTTATCCATGAAGGTAAAGGTGCTTAATGATGAACTTTTCTTCTAAGTTTAGATTTAGACTGAATATACCCAAGAAATCAGCATCGTCTTTCTATATTAGAACCCTATAAAGTTCATCAACTATCATCCTTTTGTGGATTATTCTTGGCACTCAACTACCCTCAAAACCATAACTTAAGTAACATCATTGATTGATCTATCTAACTACTAGTACATCTTCCTAATTTGCATCTTTTCCTCTAGGTACCTAGTTTTATTTTAGCTTGAGGAGGAGGCTCAAAGACTCCACATACATGAGAGGTTCAGAGACAGAAAGTTAACTGAGGTATATATGACATTCTGAGTTAAGGATGAGGCAAGGTGTCTTGAGGGCTTCAAGTGGTCATTACAGGATGATAAGAAGAGCAGATGTTTAGAAATTAAAAGTTTGCCCTGCCCTATAGGTAGATCATAAGAAGGTATTTCTGGCAATAACTCTTATATGGGCAAGGCCCCTAACTTACATTCATTAAGGGTGAGGTTAAAGTTTCTCATGAGCCTGAAGGGTCTTTATTGCCCTCAGCTCAAAATAATCCACATGCCAAAGAGGCCTCTTCTGAACCCTTACACATTCCTACACATGCTGGGCATGGAAGGAGCCTTAGAGATCATCCACTCACATATGAGGAAAGCAAGGAATGAGAGAGGAAATGATTCACCCAATCACGCAGATGAAGTGACAACACTGGGACTAGATCCCAGTCTACGTGACTGCCTATCAAGTCACCCATGTAATTCCCATGATTCTGAACACAGTTTCAAATGTGCCTGTGTACCTGTGGTCTGTGTAATATCAACAGTAAATCTGCTTAAGTTGTATTTTTGGCAAAGTTAGTTCCCATTCCTTTGGGTCCATAAGTATGCTCAGCTTTGCCCGTCCATCCGTCATTTCTGATGTGATCTTATGTGTATTACGGTTGTATTACAGCTGTGTGCAGCCTATATGTGTCTGTTTTAAGATGAAAGATGTTGTGTCAACCTGCGGTTGTTGGTTTTGTGTCTATGTGATTGCTTGGTGCCCTGCTGGTGTATATGTTAGGATTATGGGTTCATGGGCTGCTGTGTACCTATTTATGTGCCTCTTTTCATGTTGAAAGTTGCATGTCTGCTGACCACTGCGTGTCCATCTAGATGTGTGTTTGCACACAGTAAAGGATGTGGGTTTAACTGTGTCCACGTGGACTGCAAGGCTGAAGGGAACCTGTCTTTTTCTTTTATCCCCGGATTATGAGAAAATGTGTGTAGCCGTGTGTCCAGGACAGGAATGTTTGTGTCTCACACACGCTCGGTCCTCCCCCAAGAACTGGGGTTACGTCTAGTTCAGGGATGCTTTGGCATTGCTTTCCCTGGAGGCCTGGCCTCCCCCCGCCGCGTCCCGGGAGCAAAAACCCTTGGGGACTGGGGCGGGGGTGGGGGTGGGTGGGGTGAGAGGGGGGATTTATTTGCAGCCTAGCCCCGCCCCCCCACTCCGGCCACCCCATTGGCTCAGTCCGCGGTGACGTCGCGGGGATCGCAGACAGAACCCCCGGCGCCCGGAGCGCGGGAGGTCTTGTCCGCCCCCCGTCGCTTCCTCACCTGGCCCCGGCGCGTCTTTATCCCCGCAGCCCGGAGCCGGTGCCGGCAGCCGCCGCCTCCGCCATGGTGTCCCCGGTCACCGTGGTGAGTGAACGAGCCAGCGAGCGAGCCAGCGTCCTGCGCGGCCCGAGCCCACCGGCCCGGGGACTGCACTGCGGCGGGCCGAGCCCCTGGGGGCCGAGGACGGGGAGGGGCCCCGCAGCGGCGGTCTCCCCGGCTGCAGGCGGCCGCGGTCGGGGCCTCCCGGCTTCCCAGGCCCCCGGCGCCCTCCCTCCGCGCGCCCCCCGCCCCTCCGCGTCGGGGAGGGGCACCGGGGGCACGTGACTCGGAAGCGTGACTGTTGATTTCTGCGCGTCTGGCGCGGGTCGGCGGGAGAGCTGCCCGGACGGGAAGGGTGCGGGCGCCTGCTGCCGGGTTCTGCGTGGGCAGCCGACGGGGAGGCGTGGGAGAGGGCGAGGGAGGGCCGGAGGGTGCCTGGGCCCTCCGGGGAACCCTGCCCCAACATTTGTTTCCTCCCCTTCCCCATTTTATCAACAAGTCTGGGTCGGGGAGGGGACGCACCCGAGTCAAAGCTTCGTAGATAAGACGCAGCAGGAAGAGGGGTCATCTATTGACACCTCTTCTTGTTCCGACTTTCTCAACTCTAACCCTTTCCCCATATTTCCTCTAATGCTGGGTTCTTTAGGACTGTCAAAGTCTCCCCCGCTACTACTGGCTATTTCTTCTAGAAAATAGGGGGCTGGGGACGGGTTTGGAGCAGAGGTTGCTGCTCCCAGGGGCTGGCTGGTGGGTGCTGGGGAGATCTGGGTTCCGTGGGGGCTGTTCATCTGTCTCCTTCAGTCTCCTCCTCTGCCTGTGCCCTGCCCTGCCCTGCCCTGCCCAGCCCAGCCTGGATGGGATATCCAGAGGAAGGGACTTAGTCATCTTTTCTTCCTGTTCTCACCCTGGCAGAGTAAGGGCAGTCTTAGACCCTGGACCACCCATCTTGCTCTTCCCAACCTCCTGCATCAGTCTAATCAGTCCCCAGGTAACTGGTGATCAGGAAACTGTGTCCCCTGAGCCCTGTGCTGGACAGCTCACCCAGACAGAGGCACCATCACGTTGGGCAGAGCGTGGGTATACAGGGCAGCTCAGCTGCTCTGACTAGCTCTTAGAGACCTTGTACCAGAAGCCCAAGGAAAGGAGTTTCAGGGGATCACATGTTCAGAATATCTCGGAGCTTGTTCCCCATCTCCTCCCAAGGATGTTGGAGCTTTGGAACGAGCTTAGAGAGCGCCTGCAGTGACCTTGGACACAATCTTTCTTTAGCTGCCCTCCCTCCCCAGGCCGGCTGAGCCCGAGTCAGCTGCTCTAACTTCCCCCTCATAGTTCCCCATCTCCTCCCAGCCGGTCTGCTGGCTTCAGATCAAAAGCTGGACAGAGAACCCCCACCCCCTCCTGTCTCTCTTTCTGAGGTGCCTTGAATTGTGCTTGTTCTCTGGGAAATGAGACTGACACCCCCTCTCCCTCCAACCTCCAGGTCCCTGAAATGGCAGGTGTTTCAGGGGCAGTTTTGCTCCCAACTCCTGGGTCCGTTTCTCTAGCCAGCATCCCTAGCTCCTCGCCTTGCCCATGATGGTTGCCTTTATACTGGAGCAGCTGGAGTGGAGGCTGAGGAGCAGACTTGCCGAGGAGAGAGCCTGTGGGGCCTGGGGTGGTTGGCAGTGTACCACCTCACGCATTCCTGGCACTCACCTGGTGTTGCCAGGGCCCTAAGCCTGTGCCCCGGCCCCACTGCTGAGGATCATGAGTTGGCTAGTTGGCCAGGCGTCTCTGTGGTTTTCTGCTGACTGCACTCCAGACAGCTGAGGGCTGATGCTGGCAGAGAGGAGCTAAAGGGGCTTTGGGGAGGGACAAGGAGGGGGGGCAGGAAGGGTGAAGCGTTTGGGCTGCAGGAGAGAGAGGACATTATCCCAAGATCTGTTTTCTGCCCAGTGAGTGACCATTCTGGTCCTGCCCCAGGGTCAGCAATGGATATGGCCAACAGGAATAGTGGAGCCCCTTCCCCTTCCTAATGAATGAAGCTCCAGGGCAGTGATGGGCTTGTTCACATTCTGCTGGCTGGTTGGGGCAGGCCAAACTGGTTTCTGTGTGTCAGTCCTCCGAACAGGGAGGTGGGCCTGTCTCTGGGGTGAATGTCTGGGCCGGCTCTGAACTCCCGAGCTCTGAGTGCTGCCCTTGTCCTATGTCCTCCAGGTGAAGAGTGAGGGGCCCAAGCTGGTGCCCTTCTTCAAGGCCACCTGCGTGTATTTTGTGCTCTGGCTGCCCTCCTCGAGCCCGTCGTGGGTCAGCGCCCTCATCAAGTGCCTGCCTGTCTTCTGCCTCTGGCTCTTCCTTCTGGCCCATGGCCTAGGATTCCTGCTGGCCCACCCCAGTGCCACACGCATCTTTGTAGGGCTCATCTTCTCCACCCTAGGTGATGCCTTCCTCATCTGGCAGGACCAGGGCTACTTTGTACACGGTCAGTTGCTGCAGTAGCTACCTGGGAGGAATCCTGGGGTTGGGGGCTAGAGAGTCCTAGAGGGCTAAGGATTTGGGAGCTTTGGAACAAAAATATTGGGAATCTGAGGGGTTTTGAGACCCATAACTGTGGGGCCCCTGTTGGAGGATGACCTTGCTGGTGATCTGGTGATCAGTTCTGGAGTTCCTCAGGGGAGTTGGGGGTCTTTACCTTTGTGGATTTCTTCCCACCCCTGATCCCCCCAAAACAAAGCTCCTGGGTTATTCCAAATGTTCCATTCCCACCCCAGCCCCTGTACTCATCACTCACCTAAGCCTGCCCTCAGCAGCGCCTCATTCTCTCACTCCCAGGTCTACTGATGTTTGCTGTGACCCACATGCTCTACGCCTCAGCCTTTGGTATGCGGCCATTGGCTCTTCGGACAGGTCTGGTGATGGCAGTGCTGTCGGTCCTGTTCTATGCCTTCCTCTACCCGGGCCTCTCAGGTCCCTTCACCTACTTGGTGGGGGCCTATGTGGCTCTTATCAGCTTCATGGGCTGGCGGGCTATAGCAGGGCTACGGCTGGTCGGGGCGGCCTGGCGCTGGACTGAGCTGGCGGCTGGCAGTGGTGCAGTGCTCTTTATCATCTCTGACGTGACCATCGCTGTCAACAAGTTCTGCTTTCCCGTGCCCTACTCGCGGGCACTCATCATGTCCACCTACTATGCTGCCCAGATGCTCATTGCCCTGTCAGCTGTTGAGAACCGGGAGCCAGTGGAAGACTACAGACTGAGCAAGGCCAACTGATACCCCAAGGGCTAGGGTCTGGTCACCTGCCCTCTCCTGGGACTGGGGTCCAGAACCTGGGAACCTGCAAGAGTTGGTTCAGGATGGCTGCAGTTTCAGACTGAGGCAGCAGGTACCACCTGGAAAATGTACAAGTTTGATGGGGTGAGCAGGAAAGGACCTCTAGCAAAGCTGGTGGTCTAGGGCAATGCTGAGAGCTAAAGAGAGTCAGACTAATATTCCTTGCTGGAGCCAGAAGTAGACATCTCCCCACCTCTACCCCATTGGGATTGTCAAAACCCCTCTGGAGGGTGATGGTGCTCAGCTTCTTGACCTCCCCACGCTTCTACTAGATGGAAGAGTCTGGCTCACCCACTCTCACTCTCTCTGATCTATGTAGAGTTGAGGGGGAGGGGAGAAATCTGTGCTAAGGCTTGAAGCCCCTTTCAAAGGCCCCTAGTTGGGCAGATTGGATGGAGTGGAGTCTCCCTTTCCCTCACCTATCCTTGTTACTTGAACAATTGCAATCTCTGTGTGGTGGGTAGGAAAGTGTCTGACCAAGTAGGTAAGAGGGGAGTTCTTTGGCCTGGGAGCTTGGGGTATCAAGGATTCAAGTTGGTCCCATCTCTCTCGAAGGCCAGCCCAGAGCTCAGGCCCCACATCACCACCCTCAGACCCTATCCCCAGGGCGAGGGTGAACCATGCCAAAGGAAGGGGCCAGCCTGTGTGTGTCTATGTGTGTGCAATCTGTTTCCCAGCCTGTCTTTCTCTGCCATCTGTCTCTGTCCTGCTGTCTGTCAAAGTCTTATAGGGAGAGGCCTCAGGGAGCTGCTGAAGGGATACTGGGCCTGGCTTGGAGAGCTGGGATTCCCCCCCCCCTCCCCCAAGTTCTTTCTTCCTACCACTCCTGCACTGGGAGCAAGAGGAGGGGGGGCTCCAATGACACTTTAGGGTCAAAAGACCCAAGGCACATTCAATGCAAGGTGAGCAAGGATGGGGCAACTCCATCCTTTACTGTTCATATGAAAAAATAAAAATAAAAACCAAGGGCCGCTGGTTGCCCTGCTTGTCTGTCTGTGTGGTGCTTGCCTATCCTGGAGGAGGGTGTGGGGGCATGGAGCCAGGGGCCCTGGATGTCCTCATAGTCTGGGTCACAGTACTGGCCAGTGCATCTTGGCGCCAGGCTGGTTCCCTGGCTCTGGTAACACTGCTGGTTGGAGTGGGTCTCACTTCCCTGGTCACATGTGTGGGTGAGAATGTAGTTCAGGAGGATGGGGGATGGGTAGAATTTGCCACTGGCCAAATTTGTCCTGAGGCACTTGCCTGTGCATGGGTGCCCGGCACCTTTGGTGGTTCTTAGTTACTCTGTCCTCCTGCTGCTCACCTCCTCCCTGCCTCACCCCAGACCTGCTGCCTGCTCCAAACAATCCAGATTCCCTTCAGCCATCTCTCTTCTTAGACCCAGGGCTCAGTTGAACAGCTTGGAGGAATGGGATTAGACTGGGTGATTCATACTTTTGATGTGAAGCCCTGGTAGAATTATGTTTCTCCCCTACTCCAGGGACATTTGCATCTTAATGGGGAGTGCTCTGACCCAGAATTTGAAAGGGAAGCCTTGGGTGGTTTTGAATAGTAGAGGGGTTGTATAGTTATGGGGATATGACAAAAGGCAATGCAGGTCCCTTGTGGGTATTGAATGAATCAGTGATTTTCAAAAAAGGGTTTTTACAGAAATCTCTGATAGGAGATAGCAAAAGAATAAGTAAAGGAGGGAGGCTCAAAGACCCCTATCCCCCCCCCCCCTTTTTTTAAAGGGAATGATTCCACTGCAAAAACAAGTTTAAAACCTAGAGCTGGATGACTAATCCTTTCTAGCTCTGAGATGCTCTAGTTCTCAAACGTTGGGAACCCTGGGCACTAAAGAGGCAAGGTCCCGAGGCCCTTCAAACCCCAGAACTTTGATGACAGACCTACATGATGGTAAAGAAATGGGAGGGAACAGGATGGGGAGAAGGATGAATCAAGCAAGACTTGCCCACCCATGCCAGGAGAGGAGGGGAGTGTGCAGTGTGGCTACGGAGGAGGGGAAGGCAAAGGCCCAAACGGGGGCTGGTCACTCTACGTGGGTGGGTTTGGACTAAGCTCTCAGCAGCCTGGGTTGTGTGAATCCCCTTTCCTCTTCCACTTCCATCTCCTTGGTCCCTGCTGTACATCAACTGTATACCACCCTCAGAGACAGGAAAGGGTGAGCTTGCTCAGTTTATTGTCCCATCCCTTCACTGAATGTTTACATTGACAAGCACCAGAGAGCAAACTGGGTTTCCCTCACTGGGGCCATACAGAGGACAGGCCAAGAGGACCCACATCACAACATCCTGATGCCGGGCCTGGGATGGAGCTCACATAAGGTACTTTGATTTCTTCTGCAGGCTCTCGGTGACTGATGCTAGAATTGTCTTGTCATCTTTGTCTGAAACAGCAAGGCAAGTGTTTGTTAGTTTAGTGATGCCAGGGGTAAGGGAAACTCCACATAGCTGGTTACTATGCAGGAACTGCCCGGGACCCTCAATTCTTCCCTGGGGCTGGGCCCCAGTTCTAGTCTCCCAAGGTCAGCTGAGTGTGTGTAGCCAAGAGCTGCCAGTTATTCAGCACTTAATATTTGCCAGGCACTTCCATGCACTATCTCACTCATCCCTAAGAAGTTAGATGAGAAAATAGGTGCAGAATGGCTTGCCAAGGTCACACGTCTGGTCAGTGGTGGAGCCAGGGCCCGGGCCCATGTGTTTAACAACCAGAATTGAGTTGTCAGGGATCTTTCTCCAGCTGTGGAATGAAAGCTAGATATCTCCCACAGTGCCTTCCCTGGTCTAGTTCTGTCACGTAGTTCAGCAGCCACTCTGAAGGCATCACCTCAGTGTGGCAGGCATTTAGCTGACTTGAGAGACAAAGCAACAGGACAAGGTCCTTTCCCCAAGAAAAGGCATCTATAACAGGATGAAACAGGTCCATAACTAGGGAGACCATGGACACCAATGGAATGTCAAGGGGAGTTCAGGGAGTGGCAGTGGATGAAGCTTGGAGAGGTAGTTGTGGGCGGGGTGGAGCCTTGTTGGTTGGGATTTTATTGAGAGGATCATGGGAAGGCTAGGAAGTTAAGCAGGAGGGAACAAGGAAGGTCAGCTTTGCATTTAGTTCATGTTACTAGCTGTGTAGCTGTGAAGACAGTCGACGGTGTAGGAAGGCATCACATACTTCCCCTACATATGCACACACGAACAGAAATGTGGCACATGCATGCAGAGTGTGGGCATCCACTAGGTTCCCTTTAGCCCTCTCCTCATTTGTGCCTCCCATTTCCCCCTTATCCGAGACCAGTCGTTTTTAATCTTGAATCACTTGCAAAAATTTGTAACCTGAAGATTCTTTCCATGACTCTGCCAGAGAGATTGTGATTGGGGAGTCTGGTTCAGTGTCTTTTTCAAGGCAAGTCTAGGCCTACCAATGATTGCAAACTACAGTCTGCTGAGGGTTTGCCAACTCACATCTGCAGGGGCCAGGCACATAACAAATGACATTGAGGGTGGAGAGTGGTACCAAATAGGGCCAATGTTTAATCACCTGATGGCAGATTAAATACAAAACGTTGCCAGCCATATGAAGAGAGTCCACAACTCCCAGGACTGCCCTTTTGTGCCTCTGCCCCAGATGGGAAACAACCCGTTTCCCATGCCCACCCCACCCCAGGCTCTTCCCGCAGCACTCTTACCATAGACCGTGAGTGTGCAGCTGCTGCGGTCCTTGCCCAGCTCGTTCTCCACCAGCACGCTGTACTCGCCGCTGTCCTTGAGTGTGCAGGTAGGGATGACAATTGTGCATACCCCGCTGGTGGAGTTGTACCAGAACTTGGAGTTGGCTGTGATGTTAATGTCACCCTTGTAGAGGGTCACAGTGGGCCGGGGATTCCCAAGGAAGGCACAGGTCATGGTGCAGTCCTGGCCACGCAGCACCGTGTGGGGCTTGAGCGGAGTCAGGAAGCGTGGCGCGTGGCGCCAGTCCTTCTTCTCATACGGCTTCAGCTTGGCGCTCAGGTCTTCGACTGCGAGGATGGAATGCAGAGGCTGTGAGCATCTCCAGGTCCCTACCAGCTCGGAAGGTGCCCTTGAGACCCATCACATGGAATTTTGATGACCTGGGTTAGACTCCCAGATGCCACCAACTCTGGGGACTGACTTTTTATTGCTTCCTAAAGTTCTACCACCACCCTCCCACCCACCTTACCACTTCAGGGTTCCATGACATAAGCCAGGTCTGCAGGGTTTTATACTTTCTAGACCCTGGAGTCCTAGTCTTCTTTCTAGCCACCGGCTTCCCAGAACTGAGGTGTTATCCTGCTTTTAATTCCCCCTCCAAGCTTTCCTCAATGTCCTCCCAGCCTCCATGGTCTCAGCGCTCTCCTATATAGCCCTGCATTTCACATTTCCTGACACCGTCCCCGCCCTTAACCCCTTCCCTCCACAGTTGCTGAACTTCATGCCCACTCCCTTCTCCTTGGAGACCCTTCCCAGTCCCTCACCGCCTTCATCCCCTGGGCTCAGGACCACTCTCAGCACTACACCCTGCCCCTCTCTCTGGCCCAATACTGCCCCCCCTCCCCAAGGGTACCTCCCCACCTCCACCTTAGTCTCACCCCTCAGTGTACCCCAAAGGTGGCTTCTCCCCTAGGCTTCCTGACCTTTATTGCTCTGCCCAGCTTCCCAATGTTCCCACTCCCACCTCAGTGGTTCTCTGATTTTACCTTAAATCCTTGATACCCTCTTGCATGAGGGATCTCAGACATAACCTGACCCCCTAAACACCCTGACTCACTCTTGTCCTTGTTGACGAGCCAAGTGTCCTTGGAGTCCAGTGGATCACTGTCACCGATTTCGTTCCGAGCCAACACTCGGAAGTAGTACTTCCTGCCAGGGAGCAACCCGGTCACGGTGTACTTGTTGCTGAAGACACGCTCTGCGGCTGTGAACCAGGTGGCGGTGCTTGCATCCCGTTTCAAGATGACATAGTGAGCCTCACCGTCCTCCTGCACATCAGGGCTGTGGTTCCAGTTCAGAGTCACGGTGTTGGGAACCTCCTCAAACAGCTGTAGGTTTGTGGGTGGCCGTGGAAAATCTGGAATAGTCAGCAGGTCCATCAGCCCGTAGGGGTTTAAGGCTTTATTTAAGCTCCCAGCACTCTCTAAAATTTTATTTTTAAAATAACTGACTTTGCCGGGAGCCGGTCCATCCTTGCTGTTTCAAAGGACCTGGCATATATGGCATACTGTTCTTAATATGTTTGCTCACCTTCTTGGCACTATGTATTTTAACCAAGGTCTCTGAGAAAGGTTGTTTCCCCAGGTAGGGATTTTCCCCTGAAGTAAGGGAGGGAATAAAACCTCTTAACTAAGTGCCAGGTGGGTAATTAATCACTTTAACTACGAACAATCATGCTTAAGCTACATAATCTTTACTCCCTGGAATGAAGATAAGAAACGCCCTAACCTTTGTAATAGAGATTGATAGGATTGAATCAACTGGTATAAATACAGATGTAATAAGACAGCAAGAGACAGAACTTAGAACACAGAACTTAGAACACAGAACTTAGAATACAGAGCTTAGAACACAGACAGAAGAAGACAGAACCTACACTGAGAACCTCGACACAGAACCTACACAGAATCGAGAGACGGAACCTAGGCACAGAACCTACACAGAACATTCTCTAGAGACAGAAGAACTTCGCTGGAGAGAACATGGTAAAAGATCCTGGACTGAACCTGACTACAGAAATTGGCAAGAGAACCTGACTAGAACCTGGTGACTGAACCTGGCTGGAGAACCTGGACAGAACCTGGCTGAAGAACCTAGCGAGGGAACATGGCTACAGAACCTAGCTGGAGATCCTAAGCAGAACTTCGCTGGAGATCCAGACCAGAACTTGGCTGGAGTTCCTGGCTAGAGATCCTGGCTAGGCTGCTGATCAACTGAACGCTGTCTCCGTGTCATTCCTTCTTCGCCGACTCCGTCCACACCTTTG